CTCCCATTGTTAAACAAAGTTGCTGGTCACATGAAGCCATCAGGATCACCATTGGACCCCATCCCAGCAGCATTGTTCAAACAGGTTCTACCAGCGACTGGGCCTGCAGTTCTAACTATACTAAACAGTAGTATTGCTACAAGCGTGGTCCCAGAGGCGTTCAAACATGCAGTAGTCACACCGTTAATTAAAAACCTGGTCTTGACCCTTCAGCCTGCTCAAATTACAGGCCAATCTCAAAACTCCCCTTTCTGTCCAAAATCCTGGAAAAAGTAGTTTTTACTCAGTTAAATCAGTTTTTAACTGAGAACAAAATCTTTGAGGTCTTTCAGTCTGGTTTCAAGTAGCTCCACAGCACCGAAACAGCTTTGGTTAGGGTTTGTAATGACATTTTAACAGCAAATGATTCTGGTCATTTTGTGGCTCTTGTACTCCTCGATCTTACTGCCGCTTTCGATACTGTTGACCACAGTATCCTCATCTCTCGGCTTGAACACTGGGTTGGGATTACAGGTGCTGCATTAGACTGGTTCCGCTCATACCTCTCTGACAGGAGTTTTTGTGTGAAGGTGGGTAAAAATCTATCCACTTCAATGCCTCTTTCCTGCGGTGTCCCGCAGGGCTCGATTCTCGGACCCCTTCTATTTTCACTCTATCTGCTTCCGCTGGGGTCGATCCTAAGAAAACATGGTATTCCATTCCATTGCTACGCCGATGACTGTCAGATCTACCTGCCACTGAAACCAGCCAGTACTTGTTCCGTCCACCCTCTCCTCAAATGTCTGGACGACATTGACATGGATGGCTTCAAATTTTCTAAGTTTTAACGACCAGAAGACTGAAGTCATTGTCTTTAGCCCTAGCTCAGCTGCCGCCTCTTATCCTGTGAACCTGGACTCCCTTCAGCCTTATCTGAAGCACTCTGTTAAAAACCTTGGAGTGGTTTTTGACTCGGATTTTAAGTTCGACAAACAGATCAGTTCGGTTCTGCAGAGAAGCTTCTTCCAACTGCGGCAGGTAGCTAAGCTCAAGCCAGTGCCGTCTAGACCCGACCTTGAGACACTAGTCCATGCATTCATCACAACCCGCCTGGACTATTGTAATTCACTGTATGCTGGGGTCAGCCAGGCCTCTATCTCACGGCTACAGCTCGTCCAGAATGCTGCAGCTCGGCTCTTAACCAGTACACCGAGGTATGAGCACATCACACCAGTTCTGTCCTCCCTACACTGGCTTTCTGTGAGAACTATGATTGATTTCAAAATTCTCCTCCTGACCTATAAGTGCCTAAATGGCCTCGCACCCATCTACCTCTCTGAGCTACTGGAACCATATGTTCCCTCTCGGGCTCTGAGATCATCCGATCAGCTGCTTTTGGTTGTTCCAAAAACACGACTGAAGCTCCGAGGAGATCGGGCGTTTTTAGTCATGGGTCCCAAACTGTGGAACAACCTACCCCCCAACATTAGGCATGCCACCTCCCTTCCTGTGTTCAAATCCCTGCTAAAAACATATCTGTTCTCTCTGGCGTTTCATACTGTGTGAGTTGATTTAGTATATCTTGTTCCATGTCTTCATTTTAATGCTGTTGTTTTAATTTTTTAAGGTATATTCTTACTGCTTTTTATTTCTCAGTGTTACCATTAGTGTTAAGCACTTTGATAACAGTCTATCTGTTTTAAATTGTGCTCTATAAATAAATATGACTTGACATGTCTGCATTGGACCCTGCCAGGTGTTCAACAGATTCTTAAAGACACTTAGAGAGGTCAAGGTCGAGAGCTTCAAATCTTTTTGTAAGATATTCCAGGAAACATATATATTATATTTTTATTCCATGTGCTGTAAATATATCTTGCTACTTTTTATTTGATGCTGTGATCGTTTTGTTAAGCACTTTGGTAACAGTTTCTGTTTTAAATGTGCTCTGTAAATAAATCTGACTTGACTTGTTTTTTTTGTTGCTACTTTTTACTTTTGGCTGTCCATTTGGTTGCCATTTTATTTTAATTGGTAAAAAAAATAATGAAATTTGTACGCCTCTTTTATGATTGTCTATTGTTGTTGTCCACTGTTGTCATCGCTCTTTGTTAGGGATGCACAATATTATCGGCATGGAATTGGTATCAGCCGATAATAGCGTTAAAGTTCAATATCGGACATCGGTCATTCCATTAAAATAACTCTACGATATAAAAGACGCTGTTTTGCCTGCAGAGGCAGGACAACATGACGTAACTGCAGCGGCCGCACAATGCAATGACGTCACGTGCACCTACCTGATCTCACGGAGAGGAAAATTCAAAATGTCAGCAGTGTGGAAGTTTTATTTTTCGTTGGTGAGGATGTTGGATTCTGAAGATTTATGGACTACGTTGAGCCTCGTTACATCGTTCGCAGTCAGATATTTTTCCGACGTAATGTTACTCGAGTTACAAGCCGTCAATTCAGACGTCAATGAGAAGCTAATAGCCGATAGCACGACTTGTTGGGTGAGTTTTACCACAGACATTTGGACGTCGTGTTAGCCCTGTTAGCATGATTAGTCTTACGGCACAATGGATAAACGAACACTTTGATCTTAAAAAGGCTGTCCTTCATGCACAGGAGTGCAGAGCCACACTGCAGCTAGAAACCCAGAACAATCTTCCACAAATGAGACAGCATCGCAGGTGACTAATGCTAATAAATAACATTTAACACTTTTTTCATTTAATATAAATTAAAGTGCTATGCATATCATATGGCTGTTACTGAATATATGTCACCAGCTCTTACAGCTGTTGCAGAATTTTTGTAGCAAATAAGCCTAAATAAGAGGGCTATGTTCTGACAAAGGAACATATCTAAAATATCGGTATCGGCATCGGTTATGGGCCAAATACGTTAACATATCGGCCAAAAATCCAATATCGTGCATCCATATTTTTTCGTCTTGAAAAAGTAAATAAAAACATGTTCAAATTAAGGTGATTTTATGGTTCATATTTTCCAGATCCCGTAACAAGTAGCACTCATCGTAACTAAGTCAAAAAAATTACAGCCAATCCATGTGATTGGTATTGGTGATCAGTATCGGTGATCAGCAGAAAAAAACATGATTGGAGTATCCCTAAACAAATTGATTTCATGACCAAAACCACAGCTTACTAAATAATTTAACTCACCAGAACAAAAGTGTGTCACTTATACAAGTTGCTATTAAAGAACTGGTTTTGCTCACATTTGTGCTTTGGTTTGAACTGCCAGTATCCAGGACCAGCCCACGTGGCCATAGTCCTGGGGCTGAAGTACGAATACTCTCTAGGCTGAGAGGACAGCTGCAGACACATGGTGGCAATGTCCCCCTCACCGATGGGAATCACATCCCTGCATAAACAAAGAAAAATATTAAATTCTGCAGTTATTTTTCCACACAGAAACAGAAATCTTCAGGTGACTTTGACTCGTCTGCTGTTTCTGCAGAGTAGACGCTCAAATGTACTTTATGGCTGGAGATTTCATTTTTCTTTAAAAAGTCCCACTCAGAGGTCAGCTGGAGGGCAGATACAGGAAATCATGTGGAATGCACAGTATGAAAATGGAATTAAAATGTGTTTTCTGCCCAAAACATGGATAGCAAGCAGTATGCCGATGACCCCTGTCGCAGAAATATTTCAAAAGTGAAATTTGTAATTTTCAAGAGGAGCGTTTTTTTAGGAGTGAAACTGAACAGGGACACAAGCAAACAATGTTTTTGATGCAAGCCTAAAATATGTAGGAGTTACACCGTGTAGAAGAAAAAAACAAGCGAATGAATGAACATACGTACACGTACGTACGTACATTGCATCATTGCTCTGTCCCGTTTTACTATTCTTCAGATTCTTTATTCAGCGGTCCAGACACTTCGGACCTGTAAAATACACATATAAGTTCTAGGGGTGCAGAAAAGAAATATATTTTTTAAATAATCTAGATTCTTAGTCTTGGTGATTCTGAATAGATTCTAAAGGCACATAAATTGATTTTAAAATGAGTTTTTTTTTTAGTTTTATTTTTTTCGCTCCTACTCCCGAGCATACTGTATCTTACATTACGTGTCCACTCGGCCGCTGTAGAATTGGGCCGTGTAGGTCACTGTACAGCAAGCTAGTTAGTTAGCCAGCTCCATTTATCTGAATGGAGATTGCTAGCATGGAGTAAATGAACTGTACTTATATAGCACCTTTCTATCTTATTTCAAGATACTCAAAGCGCTTTACACTACATTCTGTGTCCTCATTTACCCATTCATACAGCACTCTACTAGATCTATACAAAGCTATGGAGGAGGGAGACAGCGCGATACACCACGCTCCTTCATCTTTAAAAATCATTTCAGATCCTACAATGTTCTGGGGGAAGACAGAGCTTAACAAGAGCACGGTTGTTTACAAGAAGTGTAAAATAAAATTGCGGTACAGTATTTTGGAAATACGACAAAATGTGCGGAAGATGAAAGTGAAGCAGCCGAACAGCAAACTCTGCAACAAACTTCCAGGCTTCAAAGACTGAAGATTACACTCTCCATCTCCTGCTGTATCACAAAGGATTTATGAGCAAACTGCTCAGTGGAAGGTGAGGGGTTTAGGTTTATTTTAATATGCTGGACCTAACGTAGGCCAGATGAGACATCTCCTGGAACCAGTTTTAAATGATACAATTTATGGTTTATAAAATACATTTCAGAAGAGTTTTTGTGCAGATTTGCACAGGATTTGAAATTTTGTAAAATACTTTTTTCTGATTTTTTTCACGTTTTCCTGTTTACGGTAAGCTGATGGACGGCAGCTCCCCCCGGCTTCTCTGCAGTCTTTAATCATTAAACTGACCCGTTTTTCGAACTGGACTAAAGTTGGTCCCCCTTCCAACCAAATTCGGTGTTCAGCTACTAAGAGAGCCGGACGGGACCATCCAAAAAAGATAAAAAATCTTTCATCCAGGAACAACCGCTCCCATCCCACCGGTCACTCTGAGCGCACCCTGCCGGCCAGTTGACCCCTGGAGCTAGGGAGTCATCGCACGAAGGTTCTGTGTTTTATTTCCCTCTCTCTGGACCCCAACCGAACCTCTCATCTGGACCTTTGTGGTTCTACCTGTTTCCGACAAGAATCGCTGGGTGGTATTTTGCTGGATTTCTGCTGGGCTGGCACCTCGTGGTGTCTTCATTCGGTGTGGGGGAAGTGTACCTGTGTCCCCGAACAGGTCCAGAGCCAAACCGAGTTGGCTGTGGGGGACTTTGTCTCCTATAGAGCCGGTTTCAGCCTCAGTGAGCAGCACGTTACCTTTAAACGAAGGACTGTCCACCTTTGCGGGACAGGCTGTTTCACCTGGAGGAGACGCTACGATGCTTTGAAGCACCGCCGGAACCGGACCAGAGCAAAACCGGGCCAGAGACTACTTCAGCCATTTCAGCCTCTTTGGTCAGTCTCATCGTTTTTCGCCGGCGGTGGCCTCTCGTGCTGTGGGGTGCGGAATAGAGATGAGCAGGGTGACGTGCAGAGAAGCAGAGTGAAGCACGGAGGAGCAGCGCTGCATGGTGCTCGAGAGAAGTCCGGAGTTTGCATCGGAGTTGCTGCAAACTTCCATCCAAACTCACCTGGATAATAAATAATTTTTATTCCGGATCACGCTGTTGTCCCCTGTTGATTTAAAACGAGCTAGGACCATGCCTTTCATTTCAGGAGGATTTTCTGGCAGCTCACTCTGCAGTTTACTGCAAATCTTCTGTTTCTACCTGTCGATTCTGGACGCAGCTTCTGTTTCTCATGGAAGCATCCATCCATCTTCGCTGGGGGGCTGGAGCCCCCCTCAGCCCAACTCAAACTGCAGTTGGGCCACCTCATCAGGTTTGTTTGCCCATTTGATTTGTGACACTTTATAGTCTGAAACTTTTCTGCACCATTTATATTATTGTCATTATTTTCAGTTCTCAGATTATCTGGAGTCACTGAATCTTGTTAATACACATGGATCTGCTCATCACTGCAACTTTCACTGTTTTTGGGTTCTGAATGATCGCGTCTTCATTAATGTAAGAGCCATATTAGTAAAATAAGTAATTGATGGCTTGACAGGTGAGCACGCAGCTTTGACACTTGGGTGGTGGGTGTGTCAGTGTGTGTGTGTGTGTTGACTGTCACCAGATATAACTGACATGCTGACTGGAGTTCTGGCTTTGTATGGATGAGGAAGTTGGGTGCGCCCGGGGTCGTCATATTTTCTGTTGACCGTGTTATAAGACGCTGTAGAGTTATGCCAATAAGCATTTATCAAAAGTTTAGACCTGGTCAGTATGTGTCTCAGTCTGTAATGTTTAAAGCATGGAAATTTGAAACGGAATAAACCAATCATGACACAAAGAAGTGACCTGGAGCGACGTCAGTTTGGAAACGCGCGTTGGACAGAGATTCCCGAGTTTAACCCAGTGCGGCCCTCAACATCATAAGTTTGCCGCAAAATTATCGTCAACGCAGAAGGATGTTGGGCTCTATAAATCACAGCAACAATTAAAGCTAAAAGGAAGTAGTTTTGCTACAACTGTTGGAGAAATGCAGAAGAAGGCAGACTAAAATAAAGGAAGCTAGAGAGACAGCTGCTATAAAGAGTTGTTTATTTTGTGGAGCTGGACATTCCCTGGACACATGCCCTCTATTGGAAAAGAGGACACATGGGGAGAAACTGACATTTTTGAAAGAAAATGGGGTGTGGATATCCTAACTGGGCCTTCCTGAAAGCAGAGAAGAAACCCAAACAGGACTCAAGTCAGCCAACAGGTGAAAAGGAGAAACCCAGACCCAGACCAGTGGTCATTCCATATGTTGAAGGAGTATCAGAAAAACTGAGACGTTTATTTTCTAAACATAACGTCCCAGTGGCTTTTAAACCCCAAAATACATTACGGCAAAGACTGGTTCATCCCAAAGATCCAGTCCCCCGGCACAAACAGAGTAATGTTGTGTATGTTGTTCAGTGTCAGGAGGGCTGTGATCAGTCTTACATTGGGGAAACTAAACAGCCACTGGCCAAAAGGATGGACCAGCACAGAAGATCAACATCATCAGGCCAGGACTCTGCGGTCTACACTCATCTCCAGGCCAGCAGTCACTCTTTCAGGGATGAAGATGTTCACATCCTGGACAGAGAGGAACGATGGTTTGAGAGAGGAGTAAAGGAGGCCATCTTTGTGAAAAGAAATCGTCCATCGTTAAACAGGCGTGGAGCCTCCGGGTTCAACTGTCCCCCTCTTACAATGCTGTGATTGCTAGTATCACTCAGCCCTCTGTGAATAGTAAACAGCCATCAGTATGCTAATGATCCATTATTAGGCTGATGGTCCTTCTTGAGCATGTGATCAGCTGGTTTTGGTTGTCAGCAGCAAACTGGTTGATCCACTCTGAGAAGGTGCTATTTAAGAGACTGAGCTGAATACAGCACCTCAGACTGAGGAAGTCTCTCAGATGAGAGACGAAACGTTTCTACATTTTATTGTTGTTGTTTTGCTTTGTTTTGGTTTTTTTTGAATGTCCAGAGGACCAGATTTAACTTTTTTAGATTTT